TTTCAATTGACTCTGAATGCATTTATTTTAACTGCACAGACAAGAGGCAAGTGCCAACACATGCTTGTTTAATAACGGGTAGGGCTGTAGAACGTCCCCAAAGAACAGCCTCCTTTTAGAGGGATGTTTGTGTGTGCCTGTGGATCTCCACGTAACACAGCTATATTTCAGAGAGATGGAACAAAGCTTCACACGGCCAAATAATTCATGATCCTGAGATGCACAAGAATACCAAAAGAGCACGGAAGTCAGAAACAGACCATCTGAAATCATAAAGGAGAGAGGAAATCTTTCATATTTATTGCATTACCTGCCCCTTTAAATCTGAACTTCTACATGCATGCAGACAACTGTATTCAACATTGGTGCGTGGATGTGAATTTGAGGGACTATAGTGTTAAAATATGTAGTCTCTTAATATTTAAACACACCATATACCCTTTATATGCTCCTGCTACTCAACTGCAGGCCCAGCATTCCAAACGCCCATTTCTCAGGAGTCTGAGTGGTGGCAGATGAATTACACTTTATAGACTTGTTGCTAGCTTTCCATGACCACTGTGGCTCTTTTGCAAAGACCGTTTGCTATAAAGGGCAGCTCTTGTCAGAAGAGAAGTGCCATGAAGCCCCAAGGCCCAGAAGTCACCAGCCCCAGCCCAGCCACTTAGATATGGGGTCTAAAAACCAGGATGTGTGGGAAGCCAGAGGAACTGGAGGCATGGGCTGAGACGCTGCTGCTGCCAACTTTCCTTGGCCAGGGCAGAATCCATCCCTATGCCAGAGTGACTTCAGAGCGGGTCAGACACTGCCATGAGGCGCATCCAGAGGGCAAGCAGGAGAGCAGAAAACACAGAGCACGTGTTCTGCTAGCAAGTGCCTGCACCACTCAAATGGTGATAAAGAAATCAGTGAGCCTGACAGCCATTAACACGCCTCAAAGCGTATTTTACAGGACAGAAAATTGCAAACCCCTTGTTTTGTAAAGCCGATGCTGTAAAATGCTGTGACACTTCACATCTGGACGCAAGCTTGGGAGGGACTTACATGAATTCATTTTCTTTGCTAGAATTTATTTCATTTTCTTTGATGACTTCTTCATACGCATTTCCACACTTCTGCCCATGTATAATTTCTCACTGATTTGTCAGAGAATACCCTGCACCCAGGGAACTCACTCTTCACCAAAGGCACTGTACATCCAAGAGAAAAACATCAGCAAAATATAGGAAAACAAAGCTGAATCTCTGACCTGAACCATGAGAAAACAGGATTCACTCCAAATATTTGGTCACATCAGCTTTCAGGTACCTTAGGCACCACCTAATGTGAAGAGCTCTCTTTTGCACCAAAGGGATCTCTTTTAGAACATGTTGGGAAGCAGCCACTGAAAGAGATGGGCAGTGTTTCAGATGGGCTGCCTGCTACACATCTGTGCTCTTAATGCCAACAAGAGACCAGTTGTAGAGAAAATGGAGAAACCACAACACATGGAGGAGCCGGGAGTGAGAAGCACTGCTCCTGCCTCCCCACACCAAACAGGCTGCCTGCAAGGTCTGTTGGCTGCATGACGACCTTTGCGGCTCCCCGAGGATCTTGCTCAGTGGGCCTCTTCTGCAGAATTACAGCTACACTCATCAATATCAGAGTGGGGACACTTCTGCCTCTGCTTGCTGCTGTAAGACACAGTGAAACGCTGTGCATGTTTGTCAACTCATTACACTGCCTACATAGCATGCTCCTACACAGCATTCAAAGAACAAGGATGAGGTCGGCAAGGACCCCTGTGCCCACCTTTCCCCATGCTCCAGCAGAGCCTCCAGCATCTTGAGCCCAGCATCACCCAGGCTCACAGAGGACACCCCAAAACCTCCCCAGATCCCTTGCCAACATCTGACCCTGTGCTCAGTGCTGGCATTCAGGGGAACCTCCTGGGCCCAGGTTGTGCCCAGTGCTTCTCGCCCGTCAGTGGCACCGCTGAGCAGAGCCTGGCTCCATCTCCTTACACCTCCCTGCAGGAACTGATGGCTGTGGGTGGGATCCTCCTGAACCACCTCTGCCCCAGGCTGAGCAGCTCCAGTTCTCAGCCCCTCTTCCTCCTCCAGGCCCTGCAGCATCTCTGAGGCTCTCTGCAGCTCCAGGTCTCTATTGCACTGGTGGCCCAGCACTTGGCCCAGTGCTCCAGGTGCTGAGCAGAGGGCAGGATCACCTCAGACCTGCTGGCACTGCTGGTACACCTGGACTCCTGGTTGCTCTTCTGGAAGCCATTTCCCAGCTGGGTGCCTCCAGCACGTCCAGGTGCTGGGCTGCTCCTCCTGGGCATGGGGCTCTGCATCTCTCCTCGTGGGGCTGCAGGAGGGTCTGCCAGCCTCCAGCACCCAGCTTCTCATCCAATGCTTTGGGAACATCCATCCCACTAAGGAGCGTTGGGACTTAAACGCTTACAGGGAAAAAGCTGCATCATTTCAAGTATCCTAGAGTACATACTTAATAAATTATTCTATGCTCAGACAGCAGCAACGTATCTTTTGTTTTTAAAAGATGTCAAGTTCTAAAGCTTAATTTTCTGTGATTGCACACTACGAAAGGGCTCTCAGGTAAACCTGCTTTAATCGTTTGTGAGCTGTAAAAAAAAGCAAAATGCAGGAAAAAAACCTGCTTGCTTGAGAAAACCATTTTGATCATTTTCAGCTCTGCGTTTCAGATACTTCAAGCAACTTTTGTTTACAAATTATGGAGGGGATGGGGCCTCACCCAGCTCCTCTGGGCTGGTCACCTCTTCCTGAAGCACCAACAGTGCTGTCAGTGCCACAGGGTCACTGCACACCCAGGGCTGCATCCCTCCCTGCACAGGGAGGTGTTTAAAAGAGACACCAGAGAAACACTGGTCATAGAACACAGATTGCTGCCCTGTACTCTCAGCAATTTACAGTGTAGCGATCTGTTTTTCTGGTGATACACCTGAAAACAAGTGGCTTCCTCAAATTAGTTTGTTGTACCAAACAGCTGCATCACAGCCAGAATTCCTTAAGACCTCAATCAGCAGTGAAACAAACAGCAGTGGGACAGCACAGATCAATCAAGGATCCGCACAACTTGCTTTACCTCACGTTAGCACTTGGAGGCTTCTATCTGAAAGCCTCAGCACTTGAAGGATGTTTCATCCCTCACTTCTGGTAAAGATGATGGAAAGTGAACACAGGGACGAGGGCTGGAGCAGGGGTGCTGCCCTCAGCCTCTCACAGCACTCCTGCCACACTCTGCGTGCTTCCCTCTGTGCTCTGACCCACAGGAGCAGCAGCCCCTCCATCCCACAGGCTGTCACTGCTCATCCACAGCCCATCGGGGCCAAACAGGCATCCCATAAACCACTGCCACCTTCCCTCAACCAGGAAAGCGCTGACTCCAAGCCAAGTGAAGGACTCCCATATTCCATCATTAATTATTAAAAAACAATCGGCAGACACTCTCAGTGCAGAGCTGCCTGTGTGTGGGCCAGAGGTGCCTCCCTGCAGCCCTCATTCCCACAGCATGGGGAGGAAGGGAGCAAAGCAGCCCGGTGCTGGGAACCCAGCTGTGCCGTAGGACGGGGCGCTGCCATCCCCCAGCTGGAGAAACCAAGAGGAGCTGGGCTGGGAGCTGCAAAGAAACGCTCTTCTTTCAGCCCCTGCACTGCTTTGCCTTGCACCAAGCCTGCACCTTCATCAGCTGCCAGCGTCCAGCGCTCCGGGAATCGGCAGCACTGCTTCTCATACACATCCATGGTACAGATGTGCAATGAGGAACAGTTCTGAGGAGCACAACGGCGTGCACCCAGAGATTCCAGGCACACAGCCCTGCCCAACCCCACACATCTCCTGAATGCTCTTCGGAAAGCACTTCCCTGGAGCGATTCACGCTTGCTGCCCTGTACTCTCAGCAATTTACAGTGTAGTGATCTGTTCTAGTGATACACCTGAAAACAAGTGGCTTTCAAGCTGCATTAGCAGCTGAAAACAAACCAAACTCCTACTTGAGAGCAAGCCCACGGAAAGCACAGGAAATGAAAGAAATTAATCTTAGTGCAAGGAGGATGAGAACCCACAGACACAACGCCACGTTGTTTCCCATCTATCTGCTTTGTTCCGGAGTCGAGCAGTGACTGCGCTCCGTTCAGCAGCAGCTCGCTACCGAGCAGACGTTCACCCATGAGACAGCAGCGATGTTCCGATCCCCAGAGCCCGATCCCATTTATGTAATCCACCCAGCTGCACAAACACTGAGTTTCCAACAAACGCAGGCCTAGAATTCCGCACCGATTCCGGCTGACGAGCTCCGCCAGAGAACCTTTAGAGCACCGGTCGATTCGGCACCGAGGTGCTTCTCAAGGCGATTCAATGCGCGCTAACAGCATCGAGCGCCGGCTGAGCGCGCAGCGCCCGCAGCTCCGCGCTGCCTTCGTTCCCCGCACTGCGCGCAGACACGGCCAGCTCTCGGCTCGGGCACGGAGCGCGAGCGGGGCACGCGTGCAGAGCGCTGCCCGCAGCCCTACGCGGACAGCGGCTGGATTTTCGGGAGCCGCTGCAGCAACGGCAGACAGGACAGCGATCCCGAATTCCGTAGATGCCCCGCGGCCCGGTGCAGCGGGTTTAGAGCCGTTCAAAGGCTCCGCAGCCCGGCTGGCCGAGGGACACGCGGGCGGAGCGCGGCTCGGGCAGCTCCGCACAGCGGCACGGCGATCGCGCCGAGATTAACGAGAAGCCGCGCGCGGCGACGGAACGGCGACAAAAGTACAGGCAGAGAGTTAGAACGGGAAAGCAACGAGGGCAGGGCGAAGCCGGCATTCGCACGGGGACTCGGGCAGAGCGGGAACTCCGCAGCGGCCGCGGAGCGGAGCAGGGCTGAGCGGCGCCGGGCGGCACAACGACGCGAGGACGGAACGCAGCGGCGGCTCCGGGGCGGCTCGGGACGGCCCGCGCTCAGCACCCCCCGGCCCGAAGCCCCGACCCCCCGCCCGCTCCTACCTGAGCACGGCCGTGTCCCCCTTCCGCACCACCAGGCTGTCCGCGGCAGCCCCGGGGAAGTCCCCTCCCGGCGCGGCGAGCCGCCCGGCGGGCAGCAGGCAGCAGAGGCCGAGCAGCACGGCCGCCAGCCACTGGTGGGAGCCCCCGGCGCCCCGCACCAGCGGCACCATCTCCGAGCCGCTCCGCGCTGCCCTTGGGCCCGGCGGCGGCCGAGCGCTGCCCGTGGGCTGCCCGCGGTCGGCGGCCGAGCGCGGCGCGTGGCTGCTCCCGGGCGGCCGCCGCACCATCTACCGGGCGGGCAGCGCGCCCTCTCTGCGCTCTGCGCGCCGCGGCGGCGGGCGGCCCCCGGGCTGGCAGCCCGTTGCCACGCAGCCGTTGCCTGGCAACCGTCCTGGCGGCGGCGGGAGCGCGCGCCGGCCCGCATCGGCTCGGAGCCGTTCGGCTCGGCTCGGCACGGCTCGGCTGCGGGCGCCGCGCTGCCCCCAGAGCCCGCCTCGCCCCGGGGCTCACCCGAATAAAGCCGGCATTTTGTAACGACGACGGAACGGCCGGAGTTGGGATCCGTCGAACGCAGCCCAAAATGCAACACCTGCTGGGACAGACATGCAAAGTATCTCCCTGCAGCCGCTCTAACATTCGCTCGTCTTTGAGGATTTCTTCCAAGTATTTATGGCAGAGCACTTTGAAACGCGTTTGTGATCCTCAGTGATATTTCTCAGGCTTTGGGGAAAAGATCTTCCCAAGGTACGATGAGCTTTGCAAGTATGTGGGGCTGCTGGCAGGAGGAGGCAGAGCTGCGGGGCCACGGAGCTCACATACAGCCAGCCACAGCCATACCCTGCTTGGGTCACCCACACGAGGCTCGGTATGATAGTCCAGAGCTGATTTTAGGGAGAGCTCTGTAATCTTTGGGGAGTCATTGGATGTCATCTTTGCTCGACCTTAATGAACAAACAAATCATTTGTTCCTCTTCGAATAAAGGCAAAAGCCACGTCTAGAATAACATTCTGTTAACTTCACAAAAGACCACATAAATCTCTATCAACAATAGCCCAGATTAATTTTTGTATTATTTTGTTCTCTTTCGGATTCCTGTGCCCTGGCTTTCTCACTGGTTGTTGATCGACAACCATCAGAGCAGCCCAGGAAGGCAACAGCAGCTGAATTCCCTCACCTGAGCATCCCCACCTGCCCCCAGGCCCAGGAGGGCAGTAGAAAACAGGCAGCAGATGTGGGCATAGATTGAAAAGTGGCTCCATGGGGGAGGACAGCACTCCCAGTACAGCAGCGGTGCTGCATGAGTCTGGGTTGCTTTCATTCTTTGGAGTTCCTCACACACAACAGCTGGCTGCCAACTGCAGCCACACTGGGGGCTCTGGGGGAGTCAGCACTGCTCTGCTCTGCTCTGGTGAAGGTTCCCAGCAGCATCCGTGGCAGCAGTGCTCTCATGGCATGCCTGGCCTGGGAGCTGTGCTGCAGCAGGGCAGCTTTGCTAACAGCCCGTCATGGTGTTTTCACAGAGCTCTGGGACAATCAGACAGACCAATGCCGTGTGTACATTTCCTTTTGAGATACCTGTTGGGAATTATTCCCATATTCCCACCTCATTGCTGGCTGTCTCGTCCAGCACCATCCTCAGGAGCTCACTGCCCAGCTGAGGGCTGCCCTGGCACCATCGCTGCTAAGCAAAGCCCTGCTCTTCTGCTTCCTGAGCAGATGGCAGACAGCTTGGGAACTTTGGGAAACACCTCAGAAAACGAACGATTCCAACCAACAGCATGAAACAAACAAGCCATCCCCTCCCCACTCTGCTCTGTATTCTCAGTCAGATTCCGTGTCTAAATTCACAAATTCCTTGGAAGGTTTACAACGGCCAGAGAACTTTAGAAACTGACAGGTAATGAATAAAGCCTTCCCAAAGGTAATCCTTGTTCTCAAATTTTAATTGAAAAGCTTCGAGGCTGCTGTACGAACCTTCTCCAGTAACCTTCCCCAATATTTCTGCTTTTTGCCTCTCTCTCCTGCCACGAACACAGCACACAAATCAGAACCACAGTGCAAAGCCTCCCAAGAAGCACCCAGAGACTGCTCAGCATCCTTCACACGTGGCTCAAGTTGCCTAAAATTGGAACAAACAACAGAAGGCAACAAATAATCTGTCAGCTTTCGATTCCAAAGAGCCCTTTGTGATGTTTCTGTGCAGTGCTACATGAGAGCTCTCCCTGCGTTGGGTTCTGGGGCCACGAGTCCCAATGGGGAGAAGGCTTCACAGAATGCAGCCTCTGGGAATCCCATCTGAGGGGTGGGAGAAGTGAGAGCTGAGAAAGGGATCGGCCTGAGAAAACGCAGACGCCACTTGCACGTCTTCAAACAAAAGATATCTGTATGTCTATTTTCAAACATCTACCTTTTATATTTAAATCTCATGTGAAAAATGGAACTAATGGTTTTGCCAAGTACTGAAATAACAGAGATGTCTTTTTAAATAAGTATCTCTCCCACAGATAATTTCAGAAGCCATGGTACTCAGGTGGGTGTTTCTTGCTGACACGGTTGAAAGCAAATGCTGAAATTTCCATAAAGTGCATTTTCCATTTTCTGCGTAGTCCAGACTGTGACCATGTCCACAAGTGCTCAGTAAAATACTCAGAATGCATCCCTGCAGGCATTCAAGGCCAGGCTGGACGTGGCTCTGGGCAGCCTGGTCTGCACACAGCAGGGGGTTGGAATGAGATGATCTTTGTGGTCCTTTGCAACCCAGGCCATCCTATGATTCTATGTGCATGGTGCTGCATGCTGAGGCCACGAGGTGCAAGTCATCTTCATTGGGTGTCCATCAGTCGAGCAGGGACACACAGCAGCACAGGGGAAGGTAAAGGAAAGAGGTGGAACAATTTCTTTGTCAGCATTTAGCGAGGCAGCAGGAAGAGCAGCAGTGGCCCAGGGCCCTGCAGATCAGCTCAAGGAGGCACGGAGATCCCAGGAGACCCCCAGAACTCGGGGTGCTGCGCTGAGCCTTGGGTGCTGAGCCTTGGATGTTGAGCCTTGGGTGCTCCCCCCTGGCAGAGGACATGGGCTCCCGGTGCCCAGCTGGCTGAGGCAGTGCTGTGGGACAGGGCTGTGTGCAGCACAGGGTTATCAATAACTGCAGTCGTATGTGGGTGAATGAAAACATTTTCTTCGCCATATGGTATACTATAGAAATAATTGCCAGATGACAGAAGCTCACTAATATTGATGCCAAATACATAGATAATACTGTCAACTTGTGATCAGCCTACATTTTCCTATTTTTAAGACATACAAGTAAGTGCAGTTTGAAAATACCCACAAGGAGCTTCATAGAGAAGAACTCTGCAGAAAGTAGAAAAGCACGGACATGGTTTAACTGCTCGGAACCCTTTGGATCACAGCGAACCACCACGCAAAGAGGTCGCTTGACATAAACTGAAGCTAAGCAGCTGGCACACAGCCCCCTGGCAGCACCTCGTGTGGTGCACCCTGCAGGAGCGTGCAGCTCTGCCAGCTCAAGGCAGGTACACGAGCAGCACGATGCAGTGCTTACCAACAAATGCACTGGGGGCATCAGGGAAGTGCAAAGTTGTTACCGTGGTAAGCATCCTTGCTACTAACAGAAGGTCAGCTTACAAAATGAATACTGTTTTATATGTGACATATTCCAAACTTACAAACAGACAACAGTTGTTCCTTGGATATCTTTCAGACAGGAGATGTGCACAAGAGTCATTGCTGAAACTATCAGATCTAAACCACGCTCCCTGAGCGAGAGATCCACGCTTTGCAGCAGCTTGCACTGAGCTCCCTCACATCACAGCCCGAGTTTACAACTTGGAGCAGACGGGATGTGCTAAGCGTCACAGCTTAACGAGTGCGGACAACCTGTGAATCTGTGCTCAACAGCCCTGACCGCACTTCTGTGTTCAGATCTCGTTGCTCACCAGGGAGCATTTTGTCTAAATAACCTCTGACACTCACACAGACGTTTCAGCCCTGGGAGAGCAGCTCCCGCACCTCGTGGGATGGGCAGACAGGCTGCAATGCAGAGAGGGAGGGGTCAGGGTGTTGGGACACTTTGCCTGATGCTACAGCCCCTGCTGTGGGGCTGGTGGCAGGGCACAACCCTCCCCCAGTACCGCAGTAATCCCCTCTGCAAGGGCTCCTACCCCCTGTTCTGAGCAATAAGACTGAGGCCACTGATCACAGAGTATCACATAACCCAACTTGATAACCTGATTAACGTGCTGCCTCGTATCAGCCCTCTCTGTTCTCTATTTGATTTACATGTATAATTTAGCTTACCCATTTAATCTCATTAATAAAATATCAGATGGGAAGTCTGTGTGGATTGCATGTTTTCTCCCCAGGTATTAGGATTAAAAGCCCAAGGAACCTCCAGATAGTGACTTTGTAAATCTCCAAGTGCTGTTACAAAGAAGTGCCTTATAGCACTTCCATCACTGATGCTCAAATCACAGCACTGCTGGAGTCCGGAGGAAACAATATTTGCATATCAGTCACTTTTTTTCGACTAACAACGGGGGTTTCGGAGCCACTGAGGAGGGGCTGTGGTGGATGCAGATCAGCCATCAGGGATGTTGGTCACTTCCCTGGGGAATCGAGGTCTGCTCCTCATGGCGCCATTAACCAAAAATTCACCTGCTCCATTTGTACTCAATAATAAGAACAGAGTTCTGACATCACTAGGAAATGCACACAAATTACACAATGAAAATGAATCCAACTCTGGCCATGCTTATGGCCAAGGGAGGAAATGGAATTTCACGGGCATCTTATCAGAGACCAATTATCCTTCTGAACAACAAGGAATTTGTATGAGATTTAACAGCAGAACAAACAATGCCGCAGAATGCCCAGCACAAAGCATGGCTTATCTGACCCATCTCAGGCCAACTGCACGGCTCCTATCCCCAATACTCACAGTCCATCCTCAGTGTGGCACTTTAAAAAGATACAATATCTGTCAAATAAACTGAAATAACCGCGAGAAATGAACCACAATCTGCTCGTGTACGGTTGGCTTACAAAATAAGCTTCACGCATCAAAAAAGTGCATCTTGCCAACGCACACACTTTTTATTTCTGGTGCATAACTCATCTGCCTGTGCGCGCTTACGCACACAAACATACGCTTCGTGCAGAGCCAGTCGGAAGAAATACTCTAGCAAATTTTACTGGGGTCTGCTACTGAGGGTGATGTAGATAAATCAATCTGTTTGCAAGGCTACGGTGTGAGGAAAAGCTTTTCAACATCATTTAAATGTTTTGAATTGTTCCAAATAACCCGGTCGCTGCTGTAACACCTGCCAACAAAGCACTCCTGTGCAGATTCTTGAACAATAAATCTGAAGTAACAAGCACAGGAACTTTAGAAGATCGAGACAGACATTATTACCCTAAAATGAACATCTCTGTTGACCTACCGAGGAGGTTTAAAAGTGCTGTGTTCAATCTGAAATATCAGCATAATCATTTTACCTGACCACAGCACCACAAAGTGCTTCGTATCAAGTGTAAACCTTTACAGCCTCAACACATTTCTGTTTTTCTTTTTTATTTATCGTGGTTGTTTCATTTTGTTTGTAAGCTTATGTCACCAGATACGTTCATATCTTCACGTGCCTCTACCACAAACACCTTCAGAAATGGTTTGTGACTTCAATTGCATTTGATGTGAAGACAAAGGTCTACGTGGCAGAATGTTTCCAGTGATGTCATAACGTTAAGTAACCCAAATCTTATTAGTGCTCCTCTGGAGAAATAACCTGCAACATGAGCATATGCTTTCTCAGACACCAAAATTCAATCTGAAATGCAAAATAATAGGAAACTAGGCTAGCTCAAAACCAAATTAAATATTAATTAAAGATAAACAAAAAGTATACGTCTGAGAATCCAAGGTGCTTCCGGGTAGGTCACTCCTACTGGAAACATCAAACACTTCCAGCATTTTTCTGAAGAAGCTTGGCTTCTTGTATTAGCTCTGGGTCTGCCTTCAGCAAAGGAACCTCAATGGCATCAGAAGCCTTTCCCACACAACTGCTTGGTAGCAACGATCAACTTTTCATTCTTGCTCTCACAGACACGTTTTTCAGACCTCAGATCATTATAGCCTTAGTTTTCCCGGAGCCTTTCCAAATTTCTTGTATCTATTTTGAAGTACAGAGACCCACGACATGGTGCAGCAATCTGTGCTATAGCAGCAGCCCCAATGCTGCTCCATCTCCTCCTTGTACTTTGGATTTCTCTCTGTGTATTCAAAGAACAGATGTCTTCAGATACAAAACCAGCAGTAACTTTTTCTCCATAGACACACAAACTCAATTTAGAAGGTATATTCAAACTCAGCATTCAGTCAACCCAGTTGGCTTGAAGAAAGAACTACTGGTCTTCATGAGTGGTGCTTTTGGAAAGCATCACAAATGAATTTATAGCATAAAGAGTTATCTCTAATGCATAGGTGAGCTAAACCTAGCCAAGAGTAAAGCAGAGACAAAGCAAACTGCATGCAGTAGCATGATTACTTGGCACATAGACATATTCTGATGGTAGAGACTGACAGATCAGCAAGAGAAGAACCAACCTAAACAATGTAGCATGTAGAACTGTAAGAAATCTGAGACTTAATTTCAAGGCTTAGCTGAAATCCTAGAAGTCCTGGTCACGGCTCCTGCCTATGTGTGGAAACATAGAAGAGTGAGCAGCTGCCATGACTGCCAGCAGCATCTGAACACCTCCAGGAAATCAAACACTGAAGGGTTGGGGGAAGCAGGTTTGCCCAGAGCAAAATCTGGGAAATGATATTCTAATTTCCATCATTTGTTAATGATTAGTCAAGTGGCTTGAAATAACACCTCTGCTGCAAAAGTAATGCTGTGTCATTTACACTCGATTTCCAGAAGTTAAGGCATGGCAGAAATACAATAATCAGCACGTGGTCCCTAAATTATCAGCACGGAAGTACAGGGGTGTTTATTTGTGAAATTTAAATCGAAGGTGGTATAACATTAGGAAACCCAGATAGCATTCACACCAGTGGAGAAGAGAAATTCACGTGAGTACAGCAAAGAGCAGGGAGGCCAGGGGAGGCGATGGGCTGGGCCGGCTCTGCGTGCCAATGCACAGCTATAGTGAGGAACACAGCAACGCTGCCCCAGCTTCTCACAAAAAAAAGTTTGGTATTTCATTCCTTAGTTTGTGACAGCCAGAAGGAAGGTCATGCAGGGTAACAAAGCACCTTCCAGGCCTTCTGCAAGGCCTTGGAGCAGCAAGCCTTGACTATTTTTTGAGACAGTTCCTTCATTTTCACGGGCTGCTTCCCTCAGCAGGAGGAGCCGTGCCCAGCGTGCCAGTGCTGGCTGCTCTCTGAGAAGACAAAGCCGTGTCACAAATCTTGTCCTACGTGTGAGATGGGATGGATGAGCAGTGACACATCTGCAGCGAGCTGGGCACCCAAACTGTGCGAGTCTGCCTCATCTGTGCTGCTGCCACCAAGCAGCATCACAGACGGGCTTAAAAGAAGACATAATTGGGGCTTAAGCAACCAGATATTAGGAACCTCCTTGACACCATTTATCACGTAAAGCAGCAAAGCTGAGAAAGCTCTGTATCTGTTACATGGGACCTTTCAAAACCTCCAGCTGCAGCCCTTCTCTGAGGCAGCATCCCTCCTGCTGCTGGATATGGCTTTAGTGCTGCTTACTGACAGCTCTGCTGCAGGAGCACCACATCCTGCACTGCTCTACTGCAGGAGCTGCTTCCACACACCAAAAAGAACAGCTTTCCAGTGTGAATTCTGGTAGCTCACCCAAAATGAGCTTATCAATCACATACAATTAGGTTGTCAGCCCTTAAATTAGCGTGTTGTACTACTTAAAAAAAGCAAATGTAAATACTGCAGCAAAGCAATGAGAAAAAAAAAGAAAGAGTTCTAATCGAGGTTTTCATAGGCAGAGAAAACCCAGGCCTCTCACCTTTCTCATCACTCCAGTTAAATGCTCGAGTTTGGTTAACATTTCAGTTGAATAAATCCAAAGCATATTTGATAGGAAACATTTAAATCTACTGTTTGTGACCATGTAGATGACCTGAGCACAAGATAGCCACTGCAATGTATTTATGAAATATTAAAGTCAGCAACAACCATCAACAGCCAGTGCTGCAAAGAGACAGAAATATAAAACTCCTTTTCCAAAGGCTGCACAGAGTGATTCAGTGGGAAGACCTGACTGAAACAAGAGGCGGGTCCCACAAGTAGAGCTGGCTCGCAATTTTACAGACATTGATTTTCAACAAAAAGAGGCATTTGATTTAAATAAATAAATAAATAAAAATCAAAACTTTATTGGCATCTGTAGGAAAAATGCCATGATTTTAAGTAAAAATGTTGTGGAGAGTTGTTACACTGTGTTGGTTATACAGCACAGCCTGCACACATTGCACCACGCATCACCAGCGCTGCACAGCTGAGGTGGCACACGATGGGCTGGCAGTGCTCTATGCCATATGATTTGCATCGTCCAATCTAACATGCTCTGAATTCACAGCTCCAATATGGATATATTTATGTTTATTCAGATCCTAAACAGTACTTTGTACGTAATCTAATTAAGCAAGCTGTATCATGAACCTGTGAATTGGCTCTTCTATCCCACTGTCAGCTGTATCTGCTGTTGGTTTTACACCATCATCTTACTACTCTTTGTGTAGCAGATCTGAGCCAGAGGTTTACAAACAACAAAACCCTCCACTTCTTCCTCTGGAAAAAACTTGTTATAATTGTCTTCTCACTTTCATTAATTAGGAATTGACACTGAGAAAAATGTTATACTGTTCCTGAACAGGTCATTTGTGTTTCTGCCCGAAACACAAGCATACTAATATCATTTTGCATAACCCACTGGATGTCAAGATTGAGATGCAGGGCACTGCAGCCAAAACCCCCAGCTGTCCCCATCCAGAAGAGGAGGTGCCTGAAGGCCCCAGACTCCCCCTGCTCCCCTTTGGGTTAACAGCCAGTGACATTCTGTTAGTCTTTGGGATGCCACAGAGCACAAGTGCCTGACAGGTGAATTTCCAAATTGATTTTTTCCTCCTCAGATTTCAGAAAGATTTTCATCTTTGGCATCAGTATGTATTTCAAACACGAATAAGTGGCAAAATCCATTTTGAAAATATCCATCATTTAATAAGCTCTGTGACGAGTCAATTCCTTTCTTGTGCTGAAGGACTTACCCAGGAATAGCATTTTACAAAACAGTGTTTGTAATAAAGATTCTGATCCAGTGGCTTTGATTATTGCTTTAAGAGCTAAGAAAGAATCAGCAGTTCTCAGCAATGAGAAGAATCGCCTCACTCTGGAAACACCTCAATGAGGTGAAACCAAAAACACAGGAATTTAACCCAAAACTACATTCGTCTCAGCATTTTGATTGATGATATTTTCTTTGCAGGGACATGCAATAGATAAAGCGAAAGCAATCAATACAGGATTCTATTCTTTGTTAATTTATTTTTGAAGTTTGAGAGTCACTTCTGAACAGGTTTGCAAGCCCTTGCCCACATTCACACCCTCAGCTCAGCACCAGGCACACAGAGTCCTCAAGGTGTGGGCAGGTTGGGTGCAGCTGCGGGGAGGTGAGCCCTGATAAAGATCCCTAATGAGAACAGAGCAGGTTTTTGTGCTTCCCATGGCTCTGCCCATGCTGCACTGCCAGGCAGGATCGGGAACCCTGAGCATCCCTTTCCACCACGGCACCGAGGCTGATGAAAATAATACTCAAAATACCAGTAGTGTGATCCTCACTACCAGGCAGCCCCTCTGAGAATCACTGCAGTCGTCACAGCACTTTGTGAAGCACGAAGGGCATCACTGCAGAAACCATATGAGCAACAGGAGCAAGTTCTGCAGCAGGACAGGGGAGAGCAATGCAGACAAGGACAGAGAAACTCCCACCATCGCAAGCAGGTAGGTGAGGTAAGATGACTGCACAACGCTGTGACAGACTGCTGGCCACAGCAGCAGCTCGGATGCTGCTGGAACAATCAAAGTGGAACACGATCTGGTAGGGCCGTTAGTGGTAGCTGCTAGAGATTAATCCCATAAAACTCCAATCTGATTTGTTGCCTTTTATTGACCAGCAGCTCAGTGTTAGGTGGAGCATTGCACAATCGGCTTCCCGTCAGCAGCGCCATCCTTCAGACAGGCAACAAGCAGATCTCCTTATCTACGCTCGGGGCGCAGGGAGAGAAAGGAGATAATCATCTCCTGGCAAGAGGCCGCCTACATAACAGCCAGGTTGATGCCGGCAATAAGGTCTTTAAATCGCAATTAGCAACACTTCAGCAGCTGAGTTCATCTGAATAGGAAGGTCACCACCAAAGGGCCATAGGACTGCTCGGCAATAGCATCCCACAGCCGTGTTTGGGCACTGAGGAGCGCTGACAGCTCCAGCACAACGCACTGCAACTTGCCTCAGGGCCACACACAGATCACCGGACTGCAGTAACACTTGGACAGGTTTTGGCTGACCTCTCAGGAGCTCACAGGCTCTGAAGAGGCGCAGAGCAGCCGTATTCTCAGCTCTCATTCTGTCTTCTGCTGTCATTTGGAATGCGTTGTTTCCATGCTGCTGCCATTCTGCACTTCCATCTCTTCCAAAGCACTGCAGCCCTGTCAGCCCATTGCCCCAGTACTCATCTGCTCTGGGTGTCAGGCCGAGAATCCAGGAGCTCTGCCCCAAGATGCCTGTGCCACTGTGCAGCAACACGTGGACCTATCCTTAAGGCCCTCGCATTTGTCAGTGTGATAAACACCATTATCTCTCCAAAGCCGAGTTCATTACCTGCTCTGATGCTATCGGTACTTAACAGAGTACTGGCAGATGAGGTGAAGAGAGCATTAGGAAACCGATTGCCTTCACATTAGGTGTCTGCATGGATAAAAGCAAAAAAGCCTGTGTATTTATAGAAACATTAATAATTATAGATGCCATTAATGCCAAGCCATCCTAATACTGAAGCCACATCAATTTAAATTTAAAAACAAGCTATCTGCATGGCTTCCTGCAGCGTTTCAGGTTAGAGGCACATCTCCTCTGAGTGTTTTAATATTTTTATTAAAATGAACAGAAGTGCGTACTTTTTTCAGCTGTCTTCATACAGCTGGATAACTGATGGTAATAATGGTGCCTTATTTCAAACCCCAAAAGGTATTTTGCATAATCTTAGTTGTCATAATCATGAACACTGGAGGAAAATCTCTGTTGCTAACTTCTCCCTGGGTTTTTTGAGTGCCTCAGAGTGTTCAGCACACACTCTCAGGGCTGGGCTGCCGTTCGTGCAGCCGAGGCGATCACTCAGGATTGCATTGCAGGAGAGCACTGAGCTCCTCTTCAAAGAGAGCAAATCACAGAGGTACATCTGCAGCTGGGTTCCCTAATAACCTCCGCTTTGGGTCTGGAACAAAGGGGAAGGTAAAAGAAAGGGGATCAAAAGGGGCAGGGAGGAATCAGAAGAGCTGAGTTTCAGCATCCATGATTCCATATTCTGAATTTTAATGCCCCCATCAGTGAGATCTGACAGAGGACAGAACTCCTCTGCCACTGGAGCGCTCAGTCTGGACATTCACACACACTCTCACTCAGTCTGAAGTCATCAGTGGCTTCCTCCAGGTTGTGCCCAGCGGCCATTACAACACGAATTGCAGCAATGAATCTGATCAGCAGCAGCTGGAGAACAAATCAAGTGAGGTCATTCACTCTCTTTTCTCCAACTTAATCTTCTAACCTTTATGAGCTAAGAAATCTCTCTCCTATTTATTGGGGCCGCTCTTACCAATAATAGTTAGATGTGATCTAGTCAGGCTGGCATCACAAGCAAGAAAAACAGAAGAGGCTTTTCTGAAGCCACCGGGACTTTGAGCCACCTTTCTGGTGCAGAGCAACACTGAGACACAGCTAAAAATAGGCCTGTAACAATGGAGGAAGACCTGCACTTTATAGGGACCACACACTAGAGCAAGATTGGTCTCTGTTGTTTGGTATTGTGCCACAGATTTCAAAGGAAGTCCTTGGGCGGTGTGAAAGAAGCCATTATTGAAGGCAGGGCCCTCCAACTCAGGAGCATTTGTTAACACTCCTGTGAAAAATCTTCAAGCTCTTCACAGAAAAGAAGCGTTTCTCACCAATCCCACACTACAGAGAGAGAAATGAAACTGACGTCTTACCTTGACCGAGCTCAGAGTTGAGGCCATCTGAAACTCAGGTTCTTTACAAACCATGGTTCTCAGACATCAAATCTATCACCTTATTAAAAAGTATACTCAACTGATGGACTTTTCAGTCCAGAGATCCCTGCAATAGCTCAGTTTGAGTTTCTGTGCTTGCATTCCAAATATCTTGCCATAGAAATGATGGTTTATAATTTACCTGCGTGCTTCTCAGTGAGTGGCAGGTGACTTCTGTTACAATTCTATTGCTGGAAGCATTCTGTGAATACTTCATTAGTTGCAAACAGATTGGCCTGGAGACTTGTTCTGTGCTACCTGCTTAAAATATTGTGTACCCTAGAAATGTATCTGCTAGCCAGAGGCAATTCAGTGTGTGCAGATTTCATTTCGCCCGCAGTAACGAACACTGCATCTCGACAATTAAGATACATATTTTAGGGGGAAAACTAATAAGCAGCAACATTTCTACCTTCTAGATTCACTCAAAGCAAAGCAAAATTTTGTTCACGTCCCCAAAATCAACGATATTTTGGTTTTACTTCAGGAACAGCACAAAGAGATGCGACACAGCATCAGCAACAGACTTTTCAAGGGAAGGCTTTGATCATCTGAAACCCTGATGGCAGTTATGCTTTTCCTACTACATTTCTCTTTTAGCTCCTTCCCACTTTTAGGAATGCTACTCAAAACCAGACTTTGCAGAAGCGTCTGTTCTGATCCGCTGTTTTCATTCATTATCCATATGCAACAGTTTTCTGAACTTTGATATCCTGGTTTTCACTTGTTCATATATATATATTCACACACACATATATATGAATACAGGGAGAGATTTAACATTCCTCTTGAAGATACAGAAGGAGATTCCTGGACATTTCTTGTACAGAAGAGAGACTGCACACAGCTCACACACATCCCCCTCCACAGCTGTGTGCAGTCAGGACAGAGCCCCATCCCCAGGCTGGCACACAGTGGCACTGGCCTCAACACCAGCTAGCTGGGCTCTGCCTTCAGATTTGATAGTGGGAGAGCTGAGGGAGTACAGATACTGATAGCACACATATGCACACAGGAAGGCACAGTTCACCACTTGTACCACGCAGCAGCTCAGATACAGAGGTGCCCCAAGAGCAGCTGCACAGTACTGGAGGGGCAGCACTCAAAGTAGGAATCCAGCTCTCTGAACTTGCAGGTCCTCAGTAGCAAACATGTTATATTAACTGTGCTGTAAATTCTTAAGGGCAGTCAATGGAGAAGGGAGACGAAAGACTGAAACTGCCCACGTATGGCTTTGAGAAGGTTAGATGGAAAACTGTTCCCATCTATGCCCTCGATTCCCTCATTCAATCTATTCTTAATCCTAGAAGCATTAGCACAAGTCCTCAGTTTCTCCCCAGCCTCTAAGAGGCACTTCAGCCTTATCTCCCCAAAGAAAACCCTCATCCTTCGAGTGGGAGGTGAAAAACAAACCCACGCTCACATGCACAGCAGCTCTTGCCCTCTTAGGTGTTGCTTCCATCCTCAAGAAGCCACACGCAGAGGGGATGGCGCACAGCACACACCTCTCACAAAGGATGCTGAGGATCAACCTAATGGCCACAGCAGAAGGAAGCAGGAGGAATGTCAGGACCATAGGACACAGAGCCCAGAGGAGAGGCACCAAGCATATTTCATTAGCAAATATGGCCTTAAGAGGAGGAGACTGGGGTCCTGGAGGATGACCTCGCTCCTGTGCGGCTTTGTCTGTGCACTGGCGCCTTCAATGGACTCTGGTGATGTTCATCTAAGTGGGGGCTGCAGGCAGGCTGATCTCCAGCAAGGGATGGCTGAGGCTCACCCTCCCCACACACTGCAGGATGCTGCAGGCAGAGGGACTGGGCCAGAGGTGGGCTTCTATGGAAGGACCCTGCCTTCAGCACTAGAGCCTGCGAGCCACCAGGACTCTAAGGAGAGAAAAATCGATGCTGTTTTGCAGCACGCAATAGAAGACAAGGGCATTCATATGCTTAAATATATTTGAATATAAAACTCAAAATAATGTTTAGAACTGCAGACACTTGTAAAATTATTGAATATAGCTCAGGCACAAATGCAAAAGGTACAAAACATGAGAAGTTGCACATGACAGGCTGCATAACGAACACTGGGAAACGCCATTCACAGCTGCATGTAGCAGCAAGCTGCTGTTTGCTCAGCAGTTTTGAGGTGCACAGAGCAACACCCAAATCCAGGAGCCCAGAATGCTTCCATCCACGACAGTGTGCACAATGGGAACGATGCTCCAAACAGAACAGAGTCCTAGAACAAACCGTAGAACGATGGGGATTGGAAGAGGCCCTAAAGATCACCTAGCTCCAACCCTCGGCCATTAATTCATCTCATCAGTTAATGAGATGGAACAAACATTCACTTGAAGTCTTGTAATTGAATATCATTTAATTATTATAATTAGGGTAGGAAAGAACCCAAATCTCTTTGAACAGAAATGCTGCATCTCTCACCATCTCTGTGTGCCAAAGCAGACACGATGAGCAGCTGCTGAGCTCAACCAGCGCCATCCTACTGCCCCACTGCCACAGCTGCAGGGCTGCCACCAACCCACAGCCCCCAGGGACAGTCTCACATGAGCTGTACCCTGTTAGCTCCTCTTTATAAGACAGGAATCGGCGCCATGCTGAGCCACAGGCCTGAGAATGCCCTTCTACAACATGAGCTTTCAAAAGGCCAGCTAGCTCCAACAGATACTGCCTGTGGGTGCTGCCCTAAAACGACCAAGAAGGGGACCAAGTGAAGGCCCACAGCACATTCTGTTGTGTCCTTGGCCACACAAAGCTAACACGTTCAATATGAAAAATAAAAACAGTAAAATACACAAGTTTTGAATGGTCTTCTGTGGAGACATCCCACTTTTCTACACCACTGAAATAGAACAGTAACTGTAGTTGGCATCATTCAGTTACTACTCATTTCCAAGGTTTAGATGCTGCCCTCTGCAATCATCACGGAAACCTGAGAGGTAAAAAAAGTAACTGTGATTTTATACCAGACCAGGAGAAGGAAAGCAAGTGTGACTCACATTAAGCGAGGGTTGGCAGGAGGAAATAGAGCTGGCTTACTGTTGTTTTGCTTTCTGTTTAAAACAAATCTCAGAGAACGCATAGAGAGCATGGAAACTTGTATTCCTCAGTAAATTCCTGCAGCTGGTTGAGACTGTAATTTGTTTTCATTGTTGGCAGCAGCAGGAGTATCATATAGACCACATGCAAGTCCAGGATTGGCTCTCTCCCAGTCTAGATTTTGAGTAACAGGTGTCTAAGCCTAATAGCATCCATCTCTCTTATTGAAAAAAAAAACAAATGCAATTTTTAAGATCTATTTCTGAGAAGAGTGAATTATTTACTTCCTGATTTACTGCCATGGCTTTCTGTTTTTGTTTGCTTTTCCCAGTTCTTCTCAGAGTCCCTCCCACGTCCATTAAGAACAGCATTAGTATAAAGGCAAATGGTCTGTATTTACGTAAGGAAGCACAGTCCCATGTCTGCTTTCTGGCAATCCAAAAGAGGGCCTGCTCAATGCCAGCTACCTGCTTTAGTGGAATCTCACTGCTCCCATGTTCCCATGGCCATGCTGCTGATGGCAGCCCTGCAGGGCAGTGGTGGGCACGGAGAGAGCAGGGGGAAGGCAGCAGGCATGGAGTCCAGC